CTCAAGGCAAGGTACGATATGGCGCGGTATGGTCTGGTTTGGTTTGGTCTGGTCTGGCGTGGCCGGGATATGGAGTTACCTTTAGTTCTTAATGATGACAACGATATGAATTGTACGAATCATACAATATGATATCGACCTAGTATAATGCTTTCTGAGTATGAATTATATTATATTACATGTTATGTGACCTGGCAGAAGCCATCCTGGATATCTATCCACACACCGTACCGCAACGCAACGTACCGCAACAGTATTCTGGTTTGGGATTTCGTCCGTTCCTATTGCGGAAGGAATCCCTTTCCCTTTCCATTTCCAGTCCGTCTCAACACAGCGAGAACGGCTATTTATTGGCGAGGTGGTGACTTTTCCACTTCGAGGCCAAGCGCCGCCAGCTAGGTAAGGGGGAAACAGAAAGACCTCCGGAAAAGCGGCATGGTGAGGGTATAGTATATTCGTTAAGCGAGAAGTGGTTTGGTTCGTAGGAGGCGAGGTTGTGGTTTCCGAAAAGGGGAATAGGGTCAGAGAACAGAAATCACAGATCAGAGACCAGAGGTCAAGGCTGCGCATACGCATATCACTCACTCATTCACATACCCCTAAACAAGCGACGAGAGAGTCCTGGTGCACTCGTGCAGGTAGGGGAGACGGCTAGAGGGAGGGAAAGCAAAGCAAAGCAAAAAAAAGCAAAGCAAAGCAAAGCAAAGCAAAGCAAAGCAAAGCAAAGCAAAGCAAAGCAAAGCAAAGCAAAGCAAAGCAAAGCAAAGCAAAGCAAAGCAAAGCAAAGCAAAGCAAAGCAAAGCAGTGGAGAGCCATAGGGGCGGTGTTAACAATCCATCGAAAGAGGGAGGCTGTTCAGAAGGAGGGGCAGAAGCGGAGAGATGGGAGTCTTCCAGGACAGGTGTTGAGCCCGTGCAAGCGAGAAACGGGTGTGGTTGATATCAAGTCGTTGGTTCCTTGTCTTGGAAAGCGTACCGGAATAGAATAGAACGCCTTTGAATTTGAGGAAACTGTGGAAAAAGAGGCATCCAAACAAGACATTCCAGAAGGGAAGGCATAGAGAATGAGGAATGCGTACCGAAAAGAGCAAGAAATCAGAAAAGAAAAGCCATATTGGACGACAGATGGCAAACTGAAAGGGAAGGCGTCCATGAGAGGAAGCCGCGACAAGTTGTTTTTGCGTGAAGATGAACCCAAAACAAACGATTTAGGCCTCTGATGTATGGGGAACGCTTGGATAAAAGAGGCAGGCGTGCCGTGAGAGGTAGGCGTGTAAATGAGAGAGCGCACAAAAGACGAAAGTCAGGAGGTTGTAGAATGGAATGACTGAACTTTGTATAGCATGTCAAAACAGGAAGCCGTCCGAGACAGGAAAGTGCCTGGATAAATGGTGAATGCATGTATAACCCTAGCCGCGACAGTTGTGGCTCAATCTCGTCGTGTCATCATGCGAATCAGAATGGGGGCGAGCACCCTAACCATCTCTTTCATGGACCACGATCTGCATGTCATATAGGTCCAATGGCATGTCGTGGAAGATCAGTGCAACACCCTTAGCCCAGAAGGGAGGTCCCACAACAAGGCTGGGTATCACGTGATAGGTCTGTATAATCCGGTTTGTTCCTGACAAAGCAAAGCCGGAGCCTGGTGTTGGGTGGGTGTGGTGCCAGTACTCGGTGCTTGTAGGTCCACCGCGCCATCAGCAACCTGCATCTGTTCCTTCTTGGTGCCTTTACTCGGCCCTTTCTGGCGCCAGCGGACCAATAGCAGAAAGAGCCTTTCCCAGAGGAGCTGTTACACCAGGGCGAAAAGAGCATAGGCGTTGCCCACCGTAGACTGTGGCTGCAAGTGTACCCTGCGCAACATAGGGTTGAAAGCAGATACTCCGGCAGTCTCTATCCGCACGAGAAGGGGGCTTCAACCCCGTTTGATCCTGAGACAATTCTGGAAGGCAGGCTTGAAGTCTCTAAAGGGGTGCTCGGTGGTGTCGCAGAATGTTAGCTGGTCGGTTCTCTGTAACCAGCATGTGGTGGTGGGTGCCTAGGGTTGCGAGCTGGAGCTGGAGCTGATGACACCGACATCGTAAAGTCGTAGGGTGCCATACCCCGATTGGCTCAGCCTTCTAAGTCCACAGGTCAGACTCATTGACGCCGATAACAAATGTGGCTATAGTTCATCCTTACTTGTAAACCCGTCATGCCTTTTGTCATACTTAGCTGTTGCCGAGTCTCCAAAGAAGCCCTCCAGCTCCATATATTCGGCGGCAAACACTGTAGTAAGGAGAGCCCAGTCTTCCACCGTGGGGATGTCTAGATGCGCGCCATCATCCTTCATCGTGTGCCAAACAGAAGGAAACCGAGCGGGGATGAGGTGCAAGACTTGGACACCCCGAGCGATGAAAGGGATATGATCGTCTTGCATAATATAGCTGTCGAATCTATCAGTCTCCTTCTTATCCTTTTCGGGTAGCCACGTCCGCGATGGGTTACTCCGGAACATGCCCAGCTTGCGAAGTCGTTGCTCGGCCTCGGCCATTTTCACATATGACCAATGAGAGGTGTGTTGCCAGGACGGAATTGGTCGGTCTTCTGAGGACCCGAGGAGATCGAGCAGCACAAACAGTTCGATAGAGTCGAGGTGGTTTTTGTAGACACTCGTGGCTGGGTGCATGGTGTGCTCCCACTCCTCGGCGAGCGACCTGGCTCCATATATACTGTCGGTCGCAGTCCAGCTGAGAAAAGCCTCCTCGCCGTCGAGAAATAGGACTTGAATTCCCCTCTGCTCCTCAAATTCAGGATCAGTAAACCCTTGCTCTTGCATCGTAGACCACTTCTTGGCCAAAGCTGCGTCTATAGATCTGATGGCATGCATGATCATGGCGCACGGTGCCGCCGAATCGATTGCACCAATGAATCCTTTCGGCTCGTACTTGGAATCGTAATGCGCTACCAGGGTCAAGCGCCCGACATTGCCGGACTGTGTCCAAGGGGGGTCTCGAGTGGCAATCAAATTCACAAACGGCACCTCCTTGTCTCCGTGGGTGGGTGTCTTTGCGGTCGAATTCTGGAAGGTCAATGACCAATCCGGCAAAGAGGCGTGGAAGAAATCGACGAAATGCTGGAGGACCTTCTTGGAGCCCTCGGTGCCGGGAACTCGTGGAATCAATATAGGCGCAAGGAGATTTCCGGTGTGTATGTCGAAATCGCTGGTCTCTGGACGGGGAAGACCATGTTGCAGCGTCTCGTCAGAGAGCGGGACATACGCTAGAACCCCTGGCCAGAGAGATATCAGCGATATCACCGTCAAGAGCCTCGTCAGCACCCAGCACCGCATTTTGGTAGAAAAGTCGGAAGTGACGCGTTCATCCAGATGTGAACATGATATCTAGGAAGCATTGACGAGGGGTTCTTTGGTGGAAGAAGGGGACGGCGACTGGGCGAGATTGTCTTCAATCCTCGGCGCAGTTTCCGTCGCAGGACGCGATGCGCGGATCTCCAACTTCAATGGATGGTTGCAACCGCGTGTCTCAAATTCTACACCAGTTATTACTGACCGCAGTCCGATACGATAGAGACAGATGAGGGGCTTGCCATCAGCTCTGGTGGCTGAACTCCGCTATGCCTTCCAATCCTGCTCCCGGCAATATGCTGCCTCGAGAAGGACTCAATTCAGCACTTTGCACCAAAGGCTAAAAAAATCCCAGCACCCAAAGAGCGAAAGTGTTCCAATTCAAGTTGTTCACAGTCAACTGCAGGCTCAGAAAACAAACCTTGCTCGACCGTTGATACCTCCAGCCCAGCGCGCGTCAGAAAATAAGCAACTCATACCCCAGGAAGAGCAGGAAAAGTCTCTCGACACAGGCCGCGATGTTGAGGTTCCCTTCAAGGTGATTCCCAAGGCTGAGATCGCTCCAAACTTGACCCTGTCACCCAAAGAACGGCTCCATATCGAGCAGTTGACGAGGAGATTACCCCCTCGACCTGAACCAAAGGGTGCGCTGTTCGTACAACTTTCCGCGGCGAACACATACACTGACATGTACAGTGTATAAGAAGAGATTGCGCATATACACTGCCGGCAATGGGAGGATATATATGCTCACATTCCTTCGGTTCACCACGATTGCGGCCCTGACGTTTGTCACCGTCATAGTGGCTCCGGCGCACTGGGTTAGTGGGAGCTCATTATGGACTGTAGCTGGCAGTGAGTGTTCTCTCATCGTGTCCTGTTAGCCCGCTGATCTTGAATCGTAGTATGGTTTGCGGGCCTCTTGCCCTTCATCTTTGTGAACTGGACGCTGAGACCAATGGTGACGGAGATCTTCCTTCGGCTTCCAGCGTCGGCTCAGACGTCCCCCAAAGTAGCGATGGCTTATGCGAAAAGCCTGCCAGGAGATGCCACACTTGATCTGAGATTTATGCGGTCATTCACCATCACTGATGTGGTGACATTGAGAATTGCCGACACGAGACCGATCAAAAGCCTCTTTCGGCCGGTTAGCTTTGCGTGGATTGGACCGATGGTGCAGCGTGGTAACTTTCTGAGACCGAATCCGACGCAATTCTATGTACGGCCTGAATCGGCGGGTGGACGGGCAGCAAGAGATGTCATTCCGGGAATCTGGAGCAAAGTGTACGAACGACTTACTGGGGTTGAAAGCAATGCCGTATCCAAATGGCGGCGATGATTGAAATCATTGTCAATTCTGGCAGTTTTTGAACCTCACTTCACTTCTCAACTTCTCACTCAACCGTGTCTGAAACAAAAGCGTCTGGCAGAATCGAGCATTCACTGGCATGATATTCCCCTTGCCAAGTCCAACAATCACTCTTGTGTGTCTTTTCCGTAAATCTCATTGCTTTCATCCTCAACTTTGACCATCTTTCTCAACTCTCAAACCAAACGCATCTTCCTTTTCGTCAACACTTCATCCACCGTACCTTGCACAAGCCAACCTGCCACATTCAGCCTCGATACATTGCCATCAAGCTCTACCGACCATGGCAGACGCTACTACGACCAAAGCTTCAGGTGGTTTGACTTCTCGCGAAGGAGAAGTCGCTCTTGCTGCTCTTCAGTGTGTCAAAGGTGGTGATATCCAGGTAAGTCTAGCCCTGATTCTCAAGTGCAATGGCCATCAACCAGATTGCCGCCGCCACGGCCACTGAAAAGATGTCTTACGATTCTTTCCCGCTGACACAGGCCTTTTCAGATCGACTATGCCGCGCTTTGCGACCGTCTTGGTTTCAAAAACGAGGCTTCAGCGAGGACCGCCTGGTGCGTAGTCAGGAGGAAGCTCTTCACTGACACGAAGTCATCCACCGATGAACCGGGCACGCCAAAGGCCAAAACACCTCGCAAAGCCAAAGACTCGAATGTCGCTACACCAAAGCCAGCTCCAAAGGCTGGTGCTGGTGCCGCCGCCGACAAGGATGGTGGTGATCATGACAACGGTGACGATGAGAAGAGTGGCTCTGCTCCCGCTGTTGCCGCCGGCGACGCGAATCGATCTGAAGGTCAGTCTCAAGAAAACTCGCAACATGTACATGTTCAAGCCACGTTTTCCACGCATCTCATCGCTTTGGTTACAGCCTCGCATACTAACGTCCTTGCTCCCTTAGAAGCCCCAACTACACCCAAGACTCCTACGACCCCCAAGAAGCGGTCCCGCAAGACTAAAGCAGAGAAAGAAGCCGAGGCCGCTGCCAACGGTGAGGCTGCTCCAGGCGACGGTGACGAGGACGAGAAGCCGCCGAAGAAGCGGAGAACTCCCGCCAAGAAGAAGGTGACCGAAAGTGAAAACAATGGTGAGATGGACGGCGACACTAAAGCTACTCCTGCCAAAGGGAAGAAAGCTTCCACTCCCCGCAAATCTGCCACTGCTGCCGCCGACAAAGTCACCGATGCAGCTGGTCCTGGAGAGGAAGAAATTGCAGTTGTAAAAGTTGCCACCCTGATCAAGAAGAAGGATGGTGTCTCAGACGAGCCAGATGCGTCCCGTACTGCCGTTTCCACTGGGTTAGTTTCCTCCCCTAGCCCTTTTGGCTCGTGTGCTAACACCATCCCATTTCAAGTGCCAGTGCCTCCAAAGGGATGAATGCCGATGTCAACGGAAGTGTTGGCGACACAGCGAGCGCAGCTATCGAATCCGTTGCGGCCAAAGCCACTGAAGTCCTGGCGAGGGCGGCTGGCGCTAATTGACCTCATCCCTACCTCCAGGGTTTTTGGGTGGCCGGCACGACCTGTACAACGAGGAACATTGCAACTTTCAGCGCCATGTGCCGCGTTACATTTCATGAGGCGAGATACACAGTGACAACGGAAAGAGAGAAGGGAGCAAACTGGAGCTCTTTCTTGGCTGCAAAAGCAATTGGAGGAGATCTATCTGGCGCAAGACATGGGCAGGAAACATGACGAAGTGGGACTCACTCACATGTGCGCAATCTGCACAGTTGATGTGAGGCGTGAAGGAATCCATGCGGTAAAAGTTTTGCTGAGAGCTTGCGAAAGTGCCGGGATCGAGGCCGGCGAGACGTGGTGCTGGATGAATCAGTGAGACTCGGCTGGATGAACAGAAGAGAGAGAGTGTGTGTCTGTCTTGGTTGGACATGACCTCCTTTCAGAGAGGCAGGGAAGTGGAATGAAGTTCAGGTTATCAACTCAACTCAATACAACTCGACTCCCACCATGAACCGGGCCTGGTCGAGTAAGTTAGGAATGGACAATTCAATCTTCTCTCTGCGTCGTTCTCATCCGCTCCCTCTGCGTACCTAGGTATATTTATGGCTTCGTTGTCCACTCCACACCACACCATTCACTTGCTCATGTTCAACTGCATCCATTTATGGTCTTCGAGAGGCTTGCTCAGTCTTCGACATCCAATTGTTACATGTTCTTAATCGACCAAGAATGCATTCCCAAGTACTCGTACCCGTCCGTACCTATACCCATCCCGAGGTCACTGCCCGTGATAGAAAGATTGATAGATTGACGAATAGACAAGGATGACATACATGATTGATTATTATTGTTGGATACAGTTTCCCGCAAAAGGCCAGACTCAGATCTACTATATGGACCGAGCACATGGTAAATACCTGGTAGATGGATAGATCTCTTTTTGGTTCTCTTTTCTTCTCTGTTTCAGACTCCTCCTGCTACCCACCCCACAAACTCCCCGTATATTTGAATATCGAGGAAACCCGCCTGCTTCGGCCGTGGTGGCAAGAGACCACGGAACAAACTTTGTATAATAACACATAGCGAGGAGGAATGACTGATAAAAAAAACTGACAATCACGGCTTAAACCTCATCGCTCATACAACACATCCGACAGAACCAGGACACCCCTCACAAAGCTTCAATGCACTTGACAAGCACGTCGAGGCCGCGATCTTCCACTTCTTTCCCCTTGAGGATCCATGCGAGATCACTCAAGATGCCCAATGGCACTTCTTTCTCCTCGTCCTTGTCGTTCGCCTCCTTGGCCTGCATCTCACCACTGTGAGAGCTCTTGATCTTCTGCTTTCGTGCCATGAGGTTGGAAATCTCCCATTCCTTTGCCGCCTCCTCTGCGCGTTCAATGACTTGGTTCGAGATCCCACACATGCTGGCGCAGTGCATACCGAAAGACCCCTCGGCGGTGCCCTCCTCCAGTTTGTATAGGAATGTCACTCGCCTGTCTGCATCGTCCACGAGGATCTTCATTCTCTTCGGCGCTATTTCTGGATGATGCGCAAACTCCGAAGAGAGCGAGTGGTAATGCGTCGCGAAGAAGCCCAAGCAGCCCACATGTGTGGCTAGGTGGTGCAGGACGGCTTGGGCGACGGCCACACCATCGTGCGAAGACGTTCCTCTTCCCAGCTCGTCTAGGATGACCAGGCTACGTGGTGTGGCCTCGCTCAGAATCTTCTTTGTCTCTGCCAGTTCGACAAAAAATGTTGACTGGGCGGCAAAAATGTGATCCTGAGCCCCCAGGCGCGACATGATTCGGTCAAACGGTGTAAGACGAGCAGACGCGCAGGGGAGGTAGCAGCCGATCTGAGCCATGATAACCGCGATACAGGTCATTCGAAGAACCGTGGATTTTCCGGCGGCATTTGCACCCGTGAGAAGGGTCAGATTTTGCGAGCTTCCGCCCAAAACAATGTCGTTGGGGATGAAGTCGTCAACCTTGGTCAGAAGGCATGGGTGGCGTAGATCAATGAGTTCCAAGGTCGACCGACCACCGGCATCCTTGCCAGATGGGTCAACGAATTCTGGACGACAGCTCGGGTGTCCCAAAGATGTGCTTGCTTTCGCAAGGGAAATCAAACAGTCTAGTTGCGCGATGATCTTGACTGCCGCGAGCCATATATCGTAATGTTCGTCGAACTTGGCGTAAAGTTTGAGCGACACATCCTTGACGATCTGAGAGTGTGTCTCTTGGGCTTCTTGGAGTTTCCGCACGAGGTTCCGCAGTTCTGGAAAGTAGTATCTTTTGACGCTCGCGGTGGCCGACATCTGGTCCCAAGCGGCGGGCACCTTGATGCGAGTAGGCACTTCCATTTGCATTATTTCCTTGCCATTGTCGCGGAAGCAGATAGCATTGGACTTGAGCTCCTTGCGCCACTTGCGGAGAAGTTCATCAAATTTTTCGTTGATGGCATCAATCGTGTCCTGCGAGTTGTCGAACTCTTCTTCGATTCCGCGCTCGGGCACTAAGACGCCAGACTCCTTAGCCTTCTGGCGGTCAAAGGCATTGTCCCAATACTTGAGACGGGGTTCGAGATCTGGCATCGCTGAAATCAATTGGCCGATGACACCTTCGCTGTCCGTTGCTTTACCAGTGCCGTCGCGCAATAGGGACATAGTGTGGTCGATCTGCTCGAATCCCTCCAGAACTCTGACAAAGTCTTGAACTTTGCAGGTTCCTGCGTGGACACGCGATATCAATCGCTCGAGGTCCGGCATCTTTGTCATTTGGGAAGTGAAACGATCCCGGACTTTCGCATCTGCGTTGAGAGAGTCGACAGCATCCAGCCGCGCATTGATCTTCTTCGTGTCCATGAGTGGATGGCACACCCATTGTTTGAATAAGCGTTTGCCGAACGGCGTGACACAGCGGTTCAATAGCTGGAAGAGCGTGCCTTCACTTCCACCGTCGTAGGAGTTGGCAAAGACTTCCAGGTTGATCAAGGTCTGGCCATCGAGAACCAAGCTCGTGGCTTTGCGAATAGGATCGTACCATGTAAAGTTACCTATCGTCACGAGACCACGCTCAATCTTCAAAGCCCTCAGATACTGGATCAAAGCACCAAGAGCAGACATGAGCAGATCCTTCTCTTTCGCCTGCTGCAGAACTTGAGGCCACTCGTTGGGAAAATAGTTCTCTGCTTCAATCTCCTTGGCAGTGATGTGGCCTTCCCAGAATTCCTTTCCAGGTTTCAAGTAGTTCCAGATAGTAGTCGGGCTGGTGTTATTCTTGAGGATGCGCAACGTCTTCATTGACACACCGCCCTTTTCCAGCAGAATCTCTTGAGGTCTGGTCTGGGCGATGAATGTCTCGAACTTGGTCAGATCCGCATCGTCGACAAACTCAGAGATGTGGAATTGACCGGTGGCAGTGTCCACAAATGCCACACCAAATGCAGGCAGATCCTCGACCTCGGATTCCTTGATTGCCACACAGTACGTCGACATGTCGTCCTGGAGCATAGTGCCGTCGACCAGTGTACCTGCAGTGAGCACACAGGCTAGTTCTCTCTTGATGACTTTGTCCTCTTTGCTCTTCTTGCTGGCAAATCCACTAGACTTTTCATCCCGCTCACGCATGTCTTTGCCCAGAGCAGTCTCCTGCTGGTCCACGCGAGCAATCTTAAACCCCTTTGCGACGAATTGATTCGCCCAGAGGTCTAAGCTCGACTCTGGAACGCCCACCATTCTCATGTTCACACGGTCAGTCAATTTCAAATCGAACAATTGATGCCCGATGGTCGCATCGTTTTCGTAGAGCTCATAGAATTTGCCTTTCTTGAAGAAGACAATAGTATCCCAGAACTTCTGCTTGATTTCCCAGTACTGCTTCTCAAAAGGCGAGAAAGCCCTCCAGGCCATGGGCGGAATATACAAGGTGCGTGGATCGTAGTCAGGATGGCCCGGTGGATTGCGGTCCATATCCCTGATATCCTCAAGCCAGGCGTGGCGCTTTTCCGGCTCGGTCATGTGGGCTTTCTGTTTCTTCCCGCTGGGTTGTTTAGGTGGGATGTTGGTCGGCCGTGGCTGCAAAGGCTGAGGATGCTCAGGGTCGTACGCCCACTGCAGAGCAGTCGAAGTGCCCTCGGGGATTTCTTGGTCGACATCGACCTCAACTTCATCCGTTGCAGGAGTGAAGTGAGAGGAAGCAGTTCGGGAGGTGTTTTTGGCTGTCCGCTTGCGCTTCGTAGGGCGACGTACTTCATCTTCAGAGTCATCAGGTACAATAAAGTCATCCATTTCTGCACAGTTAGCACGAAACCAATCAGATTGAGATAAGGTATTTACCATCTTCCGGCTGCGCCTCATTTTCTTGCTCATAGACGTCCTCGTCCGCACTATCGGAAGGTCGCTTGCGTTTAGTAGATCGAGCCCGCCGTCCTGGAGTCGGCTTGAAAATATCGTCACCGTCGGTGCCTTCGCTGTCGGACTCGAGATAGTTGATCTTCCTGGTTTTGGCCTATTGACCTCAGCGGTTAGTTCAACGCAGTCACTGACGGGCGTGGTTTCTTACCCTGCGCGAAGGTGTCCCACGGGCTGTCAACTCCTCTCTGCCATTAGTCTGCTCATCGTCAGCTGAGACTGGCGATGGCAGACCTTTGGAAAGAGGCAGACTCGCCTTAGGAGTGTCGTCCTCATCTTCAGGTTCGACCGCGTCACTGCTGGCAACAGGCGTCAGAGCAGCTGACGATTTGCCGACCGGTTTCGTGCGAGTCTTGGATGGAACAGGCGTATCAGACACTGATCGAGCAGGCAATGCGGCTGGAGAGCCAGTGGAGGGAGTCTTTTGGAAGAAGCCAAAGAGGGTCTTCTGTCCACCCGTAGAAGAGGATTTCTTCAATGCAGGGGTGGAAGCAGGAGTAGAGACAGTCTTCTTTGGCATGTTTCGGAGGCAATGAGACCATTCGGGCCTCTATACCAGAGAAAAAAAGATAGTATTAGTTACTGAGCGGATTGATCGAGTCCTGAGAAACACGAAAATGTTGGAGAGAAGACAACCGCGTGGAGAGAGACCGAGTTGCTAGCGCGTCCAACGCCTGACGCGTAAAGTAGCCGATCAGGCAAGCCAGGCACTAGAGGGTCCCAGCCACACGACCCCCTCAGTTGTCAGCCTCGTCCTCGGGAGCAAGTTACATGATATTTGATTTTACATGCTGCCTTTGACGCAGGCTGATATGTTATTACATCTGTGGTCACAACGTTTTCAAGACCGTTGACTCGCCTCCCCCACCTCTCTGTTGTTGTCCATTGACACATCAGGACTGTCCTTGCTCTCAGGAGGTCCATCCCATCCAGGGCATGTCAATCCAAGCTCCACATATTCCTCGTCTGGGACGATGTTGATAATCTTAATCCTCCACTTACCCGTTCGGAGAATGAGCAAGTTGTCGTCGATGATCCATTTTTGAACCTCCTTCCAGTCGGACGTCTTGACGGGTGTAAAGCTGAGGCTATCGTCCATTGCATTTGTTGCATCTGAGGCGCCACCCACGTACGCCCCTCCAGCATTAATAAGTCGCTGGCCCTCTGTTTTTGACGTCACCATCCCTGCCGACCAGAGAATATTGCTCATAGGTTTCTGGGAAATGAGGCTCCGTGGGAGCTTGATGTGAGTCGACACATTGTCTTCCCGCCGCAAAGGCTGCGCATGCTTGTTTAATGAGGGGTGTGCGAAGAGTGGGGTGCCAGAAGAATGTGTATCACTTGCTCGTGTCTCTGTCAAGCTCGCCTTCATATCGCTGAGGCTAATGCCTTTTTGGAAAAGTTGACGATGTTCACTTTCGGCGCTGTTCGCAGCATCTAGCCCGTAGATGAGCTCGACGAACTCTTTTGCGAGCTTGTGCTGTGCTATCCGTTTTGATTGATCTTTTTGATGCTCCTTCATGATTTCGGTGATCTCGGGCAAGGGCAAGAAGGTCAGCAACTTGAGGTATTTTTCGACGTCGGAGTCTGAGGAGCGCAGGAAGAACTTCAAGTCGTGTCAGCCGCGTCAAGCTCTCTGCAGGGCACAAATCCTACCTGATAGAGGTCGAAGATGCTCGTCATATCTGGATTAAGCCAGACAGCATTACCAGCGCTCTTTCCAAACTTTTGCCCCGAGGCCGTAGTCAAGAGAGGGACGGTGAATCCCATTGGATCCGAAGTGACCTCAATGCCGCGCTTTGAATCGAGGAGCTGTGTTTGCCGCAACGCAACCTGGTACTCGTGGGAGTCTTTGGCAATTTGCTTCACAGCTTCAGCACCCGCGAGAATATTTCCAAACTGGTCTGCTCCACCGACTTGCAGCTGGCAACCGGATTGAAACAAATGCCACCAGTCCCATGCCTGTACCAGGGGGTAGCTGAACTCAGCAAAGGACATTCCGTCCCCTTTCTCTAGCCTATTCTTCACCCTAAAAGACAACCATGGTCAGCAACCAAACCACCTGCGGAAGAAGGAATGGCCTGCTCACGTGTCTCGGCCCAGCATTGGACCTATCCGTATGTGCCGACCGAGAATGGACAGAAACTCTCTTGCTGTGACCTTGGACCACCATGTTACATTGTTCTCGAGAGATCTGCGCCAGGCCCATTCCCGCGTATATCCTTTCCGTGCGGCGTATGTTTCGATCGACGCACCGAGCCTTTTGAGTTGAATGTGCATAGCTGCCATGTTGCCTTTCCTCTGCGATGGAGACATCATTTCTCTGCCTTTCAACCGGCCCGAAGGGTCGCCAATACTAGCGGTGAATCCCCCTAACTGATAACGGTCAGCTACTCCTTCGCAAGAGACCACGTCCACTAGTACTGCTTACAATGAAATTGGCCTTGTAGCCATGGATATAGAGCCAACCCAGGACCATGAAGGGAACCATATGACCAACATGTAGAGAAGGGGCGGTCGGGTCTATGCCAGCATAGACTCCAACTCGACGGTGGGTGAGGAGCTTGTCCAGATCTTCCCTTGTGCTTCAAATCGTCAATGAGACATCCTGGACCTTATTTTCGCAGACTCTCACCCGACAATCTGGTTGATATACCCCCGCTCCTCAAGTATAGTAAGCATCGACTTCATGTTGCCCTTTTCGATGGCTTGGGCTTTTGCACGCCATTCTTCCTCCGCTTCTTGTATCCGTCGCACGTGGGCCTGCGTGATCCATCTTTGCTGAGCTGAAAGGCTTGGAAGTGGATTCCGATCGCGGAGGTGGCTGCGGCAGCTTTGGCAGATGTACAAGGAGCGACGAGCTGTGCGGAGGGGGTTTGGTGTCTTCATGAGGCTCTCTACCCAGGTAGTTCAATGCGGGCGCAACAAAACGAGTTCAACTGCGCAAATGAAAAAGTTGTGGTTCAGGGACGGACTTTCGGCGCAGCAGTCGCCGACACCGTCAGCCAATCATCAACTAGCAGCGAACATGAGGGCCAAGACTGCACGGTATGTCGTCAAACTTTCCTCATTAGGTGTACGCCCATTTCCCTTTGTTTTCTGCCAAGTCCCCCGCAGTACCGAGTACTATTTCCACTTATGGGCACCCCCGGTCCCCCATTCTAGAACACGCCGCCGACTGGTGGAATACTCGTACCCGTTGCCGGTTCTTGCAGCAAAGCGCACCGGAAAAACATTTGTTTGCAGACACTTTCGGACTCTTGGATAAACAGTACCTTGTACCATGCACTTCTATCCATGGGTTTTTGATTTGGTATTGAGAGGGTGTCCAGCCAGCCAGTTCCTGGTCAACGCTAGCGATGCCTACCGGATGATATATCCAGATGCAGACTGAAATGAGACCTGTTGTGATAATGCAACTAAATCCTTGGCGAGCAACAGAATCCCAGATTATCACGGGTAGTGGTTGTCCGAGGCCGGCAAAGTGAGTTTCACGGGTGCCTGGCCCGTTCTCGGTGCCTGCATCTTGCCCTCGGGAGGTATATAAAAACCTGTTATCCCCCCGCTCAAAAGGTTCCTCAGGCCGAGTCATTTCTTATCGTCCTATATCTGATTCCCACCACCATGTCGGTAGAAGGTCGCTGCGATGAGCGGTTCCTCAAGGTGAAAGAGCTATTCCAAGGATTCCTGGATTCTGGCGCGGAGCTTGGAGCCTCAATCTGTGTCAATATCGATGGTAAGAATGTGATCGATCTTTGGGGAGGATGGGCCGACCAAGAACGAACCAAGCCGTGGACTGAGAACACCATTGTCAACGTCTGGTCAACAACGAAGACCGTCCTATCACTCGCTACTCTCATTCTCGCCGACCGAGGATTGCTGGGGCTCGACGATCCCGTGGCAAAGTACTGGCCTGAATTTGCAGCCGAGGGGAAGTCAGACGTCAAAGTTCGTCATCTCCTCTCCCATACATCTGGGCTCTCAGGTTGGGACGATCCCATCGACATTGAAGGAGTCGAAGATGTACCCAGCGCCAGCGCGAAGCTTGCCGCTCAGCGACCCTGGTGGGAACCTGGCACCGCTTCTGGCTACCACGCTCTGACTATGGGTCACTTGTTACAACCGGTCATTCAAGCCGCCTCAGGTAAAACACTCGGCCAGGTGGTGAATCAGGAAATCGCCGGACCGCTCAAGGCTGACTTTTCCGTCGGCTGTCCGGAGAGCGAGTGGCATCGAGTTGCGAAGGTCGTTCCACCAGCACATATGGACCTTTCTCAGATTGATCCAAAATCTGTCATGGCAAAGACATTGAGCAATCCTCTATTGGACGCCAAAGCGTCCTGGACTGACGAATGGAAGCGGGTCGAGATGGGTGCTCTGAACGGTCACGGCAACGCAAGGTCAGTTTGTAAGATGCTCTCTGCCATCACGCTAGGTGGCGAGGTTGATGGGCAACGTCTGCTATCTCCGGCCACCATCGATCGCATCTGGGAAACGCAGTCGAATGGCACAGACTTGGTTCTTGGTATAGAGGTACGCTTTGGCATTGGGTACTGCCTGGAGGCACCAATCCTCAAGTGGCTTCCCAAAGGCAAGGTCTGTTTCTGGGGAGGCTGGGGCGGCTCAATTGTCGTCATGGACCTTGACAAGAAAATCACCTTTGCTTATACCATGAACCACATGGAACAAGGCACCATTGGCAATTCTCGATCCTCGGCGTACGTCGCTGCACTTTACGAAGCACTGTCATAGCGTATAATGAGTGGGCAAGCCAGGAACAGAACTTTGAACTTTCCGTTGAATTATTATTACAAGCTTCTTGTTCCAAGGCCCATGGCTCGCTGAGATTAAGGACTGACATGACTATACTTGAGACATATCAGGGCAAGGCGTGTGGGATCACGGTCAAGGACAAAACAATGGTTTCTGGATTATCTGGAAGGCACAAATATGCCAAGACGCCTACTTATCTACCAATACCTAAAATACTCGCTGTAATACTTACGAGGTATGTCTGTAGAGATAGGTAGGACCGCCACAAGCCCGTACCCCAGTGGCACATGTCTCAACACAGATGATGTGCCGAGGCTTCATGCCTCACTAGATATCATCTGAGTCTGTCTCCTTTCCAGAGACCTAGACGCAACGTCTGTTGCAGAAGGTTTCCTCAGCTAGAATCCCGAAATGGATCAACACACACACACACACACACTTCGGCATACCGAGGCCCCACATGATTACCCTCCCACCTCCCTTGGCTCGGGGGACAGGCAATACTCCATCCACCAGAGGTGGTAATCGCGGCCCCGAGGAACACGAACGACAACAAGTGGCGCTCACTGGTATGCTGCCAGGTCAATGGGGATCGTCGTATGATTGCATACGGTACGTTTCCCAAGAACAGAATTTTTGCAAGACTTTATCGGGACGTCCAATCGAGGGATATAGATAGCTAGATAGAGAGAGTGTCGACTTTCAACATTCTCTGTGCGCACTATGAGCAGCAGGTAAATCTTTATTGTTCGTTCTCAGCCACCTCGAAAAAAGGATGGCGAAAACCGATGAGAAACTGGGGTTCGACCCGGACGCGTTGAAAGCAAAGTACCTGGCTGAGCGTGAAAAGCGAATCCAAGCCAATCCACATGGGGTCGACCAGTATCGATCGGTCGAGGGTGCTCTGGCTCACTATCTGGACGATCCATGGGCCGGTCAAGATGACCGCCGAGAGCCTCTCGACATCAAGACCGACGTTGTGGTGGTTGGTGCCGGGTACGGAAGCGAGCTCCTGGCATATCATCTCGAGAAGAACGGGATTTCGGACTACAAGATTCTCGAAAAGGGAGCAGATTTCGGTGGTGTTTGGTTAGTAGTCCAAACACGCGTTTTTGTTATAAATCCAGTACTGACCATATTATGCCAGGTACTGGAATCGCTACCCTGGTGTGCAGTGTGACATCGAGTCTTATATCTATATGCCACTGTTGGACCGTATCGGGTACATTCCCACGGAAAAGTACGCCCACGGGCCAGAGCTCCTAGACTACGCCAAAAGGCTTGCGAGGGAGCTAAAGCTGTACGACAAGGCTATTTTCAAGACAGAGGTCTTGAGTATCCGTTGGAACGAGGACAGTTCGATGTACTCGGTCCAAACTAACCACGGAGACAAGATATTCGCTCGTTTTGTGGTCGGCGTCGCCGGCTCGCTCCATCGGCCAAAGCTACCGGGATTTCCTGGCATCGAGACGTTCAAGGGACGGAGTTTCCACTCGAGTAGGTGGGACTACAAATACACCGGAGGCGACTCGACCGGTGGCTTGGTCAACCTCAAGGACAAGAAAGTGGGCATTATTGGCACCGGAGCCACGGCCGTTCAGATTGTACCTCACCTCGGCCAATGGGCAAAGGAGTTGTACGTCTTCCAACGGACCCCGTCTTCGATCGACGTGCGCAACAACCGACCAACGGATCAAAATTGGGCCGAAACACTCACGGGGAGTTGGCAGCAGCGACGCATGGACAACTTCAACAACATCATCGGCGGCGCTCCGGAGGAGGAAGACCTAGTTATGGACGGATGGACCGACATAATCCTGCGGTTATTTCCGTCAAAATCAGACGGGAATGCGGAACTGAGCAAAGAAGAAAAGGAGAAGCGGAGGCAGCTGGCCGATTTCGAGAAAATGGAAGAAATCAGAAGGCGAGTCGACCGCATCGTCAAAGACCCCGAGACGGCCGAGAGCTTGAAGCCTTATTACAACCAGTTTTGCAAGCGGCCGTGCTTCCACGACGATTACCTCGAAACGTTCAATCGTCCAAACGTCAAGCTCGTCGACACCAAAGGACGGGGGATCGAGCGAGCGACCGAGAAGGGAGTCGTGGCGAACGGCCAGGAGTACGAACTCGACTGCCTAATCTACGCCACGGGCTTCGAGCGAGCAACGTCATGGACCCATCGCGCTGGAATGGAGGTATACGGCAAGAAGGCGCTGCCTCTATCCGAAAAGTTCTCAGACGGCCCGAGCACGTTCAAGGGCTGGATCACCAGAGACTTTCCAAACTTTTTCATGATCACGACCGTGCAGGCATTCATCACGCCCAACTTTCTGCACACGACTGCCATACAAGCGGAGCATATTGCCTATGTGATCTCGGAATGCAAGGCCAGGAACATTCAGGCCATAGAGCCCACTCAAGCCGCCGAAGACGAGTGGGTGGAAATGATCATTGCGTCGGGCGAAGACTCGAGAGCGTTTCACAGCGAGTGCACGCCAGGTTACTACAACAACGAAGGTCAGATTACGAGACAATTGGCCAAGAGTTCCTCATACGGTGGCAGTCCGTTGACGGTTATAAACTTGTTGAAGAAGTGGCAGACGGACGGGAAATTAGAAGGTCTTTCGCCCACATATGCTTCGGCCACGGTGGAAACGGTATCATGAAAACTTTCGTCTACCAGTAGCAAATACACTAGATAGACAGATACAGGGATAGATATATTGGTCATGCTTTTTCCCACACAAGTCACTGGGAAACACTCAATCAAACAAAGCATTACCAAAAGCTGCGTCTCTCTAATAATAACTCTCCATGTCGGTCAATACAGCTTCACATTGTGCTGCTTCATGGCCTTTGCGAGTCCACCGTTCCCCAAGAATTCCGCTTTGTCGTCACTCCACTCGGGCTGCACTCTG